CTGCAGCTCCTGCCTCACCTGCAGCTCCTGCCACACCTGCAGCTCCTGCCACACCTGCCTGGCCAACCCCTTCATGCCTCTGGGGCTGTGCAGGGAAATCTGGTCTATCCTGTGACTCTGAGTCGGGGGCCTGGGGCAGAAAGACCACAGGCCAGGGTCCTCCCTTGCCTGGTATTTGTCGGGGAATCAAACTTCGGTTTAAATACTGAGCAAACTCGACCAAGGCGACCCTGCATCCGAGCTCCTTTCTGAACACTTTGCCCAGCACTCGGTACCTGCCCAGGGGCCATAGGGCAGTGCGCACGGCCTTCTGGAATTCCTCGTCTCCACAGTCGTCAGGGATGCCCAGGATGAGCAGGGAACGCTGCGCGTTCACGCCCATCCACCTGCACCAGTCACCCAGCATTGTCAGTGGCATCGCCATTGCTGAGAACCTGAGGGTGGAGAGAAAGGAGTAGACAGGGACACACAGACTTTCACAATGTGAGCCTCAGCCTGTGGGTGCAAAGGGGTGAGAGGCGTGTTCATACCACACAGCCTATCCTACCACATAGCCAAAGCCCAATGTCCCTCACAGTGGTGGCCTGTAGCGCCTCCACTCCCCATTTTGTTCGATTTTAGAAAACTTTTTTGATAATACACTAATTTATTTACTAGCTGTAGGGCTAATCCTATTTTCTATTTTTCTGGCATCACTTTAAGAAGTTGCTTTTTTGAGACACCTGGGTGGCTCAATCGGTTAAGCATCTGCCTTCAGCTCAGGTCATGATCCCAGAGTCCTGGGATCGAGTCCCACATCAGGCTCCTTGCTCACCAGAGAGCCTGCTTCTCCCTCTGCCTTCCAGTCTCCCTGCTTGTGTGTGCATGCACACAGGCGCTCTGTCTCTGACAAATAAACAAAATCTTTAAAAAAAAAAAAAAAAAAAAGGAAGTTGCTTTTTTTCCCCAAGAGATATATCAAGTATTGAAATTTTTGGCATAAATTTTTCCATAATATTCCCTGCATTCTCTTTTTAATGTCCGTCTGATCTGTAGCAATAGCTCGCTTTCATTCCTGATGTTGGTAATAAGTGTTTCTTCCCTTTTTGCTTGATTAGTCTCACTAGGGCTTTATCAGTTTTGTTTCTCTTAAAAAAAAAAAACAAACCTATGGGTTTGTTAAATGTCTACAATTGGCTTTCTATTACTGATTTATTCTCTTAGCTGTAGTATTTTTTCAGCCAACTTATTTTGCATTTAGTTTATTTTTTTAATTTATTTATTTTTAATTTTAATTTCTTTAAATAGACCATTAGGTCACTGATTTTATGTCCTTCTTCTTTTATAATAAAAGTACTTAGAGTAATACATTTTCTTCTGATTGTTTCTTTAGCTGCCTGACTAATTTGGGGAAGTTGTATTTTTTTTTCATTAATCAGTTTGAAATATTTTCTAAGTTCCTTCGTGTTTTCTTCTTTGAGCCATGGGTTTCCAAATATTTAAAGATATTTTATTATTATTAATTTTATTTTATAAAAAATTTTATCTATTTGAGAGAGCACGCGACCGCGCGCGGCGCGCGGGAGTGAGCCCGAACAGGGGGAGGGGCAGAGGGGGAAGCAGACTCCGTGCGGAAGGTAGACGCTTAACCGACTGAGCCACCCAGGCGCCTCTATTATTCTTAATTTTAAATAAAATTCCGTGAGGCCAGAGAAATTATTATGCAAAAGCACAATCCTTTAAAATTTATGGAGACTTTTTTATGGCCCAACATACGGTGTATATGTGGGTGAGTGTGCAAAGCACTCCTGTAACGAATCTTTATTTTCTGTGGAGGACAAGGTTTTGCACCTCCCCCTGCTGGAATCCCTCTGCCATCCCCCACAGAGGCGACCCGGAGCCCGTGGGGTTCCAGCTGCAGCGGGCCAGAGCCCCTCCGGAACGCCACACGTGCTCGGCCGGCGGCCCCACGTTCCAGCCCACCCACGCCCCCCTTCAGCGAGGCGCCATCCTGTTTGCGCAGCCGCAGAGCGTCCTTCAGTACCACGCCCCCACCGGGTGGTAGAGCCCGTCTAGTCTCTGGCAAGCAGGGCGGCCCCGCAGGCTTAGACGTTACGTCCGCGTCCTCACCCCGGGGAGCTAGCTCTCCCCTCTCCCGCCCCAGCTAGGAAGCCTCCCCTCCCATACTCTCCACACCCGCAGCCCCGCACCGTCCCTGTGGCCCCCAGAAGCAAGGTGCCCTCCCAGTTCGCGCACCCCGCGCCGGCGCCTGCAGTGGCTCGGTGCTTGGCTTCTGGCCTCCCCGCACCGAGCAGCCCTCCCGGTAGCGCCGGCAGCCCGGGGTCCGTCCCTCCGCACAGCCAGAGCGGGAGCCCTCGTTCCTGCCAGGGGTAGTTGGCGTCCTCCCGTCCCAGCTCCCGCCCAGCCCCATAGCTCCCCTCACGCCTCTCGGGTCGAGAGTCCTCTCCGTCACCCCCACCGTCC